TATATACATATTCTTGCAATTCTTTTGAAAGTTTTATAGTTGTGATTGATTAAGTAACCTGATCGATAACTTGAGAAAATAAATATCTTTATTTGTAACACTCCCTTAAAATATGAAAAGCAATTTTTAGACAAAAAGATGGAATTAACATACACATACAAAGATCGAAAAAAATATATAATATCTTTTTCTTATAATTAGAAATATTTTTCATATAATTTTTTGCTTATAACGTTACAGTAACGATTGTGAATTTTTCTTCGTAATAATGCCATCTCTTATTCATTATATAAATATTCTTTAATGGTAATCTCAGATCTTTCTCTTTTTAATGATTTTTTTCCCTTTATTCGTCACATCCAATTCTATCTCTCTTCTAATGTCACATATAATTAATATATCAAACATTTTCCGTAAATATTAATAAACAAAGAATATTTTCCTCACCGTAATATATGGATATGCATATACATATATTATTTTCATGATAAAATTAATTAAGAAGCGTGATGTATTTCATAATTTGTATTACATCGCGTAAGATAAATTCCTTTTTGCTCTTAAATATCTCCTCGCAATTTTATTTATAAATTCTCTTTTTAATATATTTAAACAAAAATTTAAACGTTATCATAATAACAAGAAGAATTTTAAGTAAAAATCAAATTACTTATACGTTAATTATAGATACTGCGATTTTATAGCTGTATATGCTAATGTCTTTTCAGTTTGTGAATATAAATTCATATTTATTTAGCTAAGCTATGAGAATATATATATTACATAAGAGAAGCTAAACTATAAAAAAGTACATTTCACGCAACAAATTTTCTTGTGCAATGTGTAACGCTGAATGTGCGTCGAATTATTTCTTCATTAAATATTTCCGTTGATTTTTTGTATTGTTAATTTTATTTAATAACAATTAGAAAAAGACATTATAATTTATTCAAATTTTTTATATTTAAGATTAAATATGAGATTTATTGTGGTTAAAAGCAATCTAAAATATATTACGTTATTTATTAAATGAATATATTTTTTTCTCTCCTTGTCTCTCTTTCTCTTTTTCTTTCTCTCTCTTTCTGAAATATTATGAATTACTATAAATAAGTAAAATAAATACAGAATAAATATATAAAATATATATAAAATATAGGGGAAAGTTGGGTAAAACCGGGTACGCGGATCAAACCGGGTACCCCTGTTTTTTTCGTAATAAGTGCTGCTATCTCTGGCTAACTTGTGTTATTAGTTGTAGATTGACGCCATCATTATTTTAAAACAAACCGAGCCCCTATGCACACGATATTTCTTTTTTAATAAAAGTTCAAAGTTTTTAGACCCCCAAAGATCGATATCGAGGCAAGAATCGAGTCGTCGTGCACTTTTTCTGTATAGAGCATCTGTTTCGGTAAGTGCGGAATTGCATTCTGTACATATTAGAGAGTATATCTATATTAGTTTTGATCGGCACTTTGTACGCCGGAATGTACAACCGCCATATTTGTTATTTTCCTCGTGTTGGGGCAAAACCGGATATCTATTTTTTTTTCTTTGATTGGACAAAAATATTTCAAAATATCATTCTATAATTTTCACATATAACATTCTATTTTTTTTTTTAATGTGAAAATGCCACGAAATTATAAGAGGAAGACTGAAAGGTAGAGCTGGTCTGAGAAGAGCATGGCTGCAGCAATTAAAGATGTTACAGAAGGAAGAATGGGCTACAAAAAAGCTGCTATTACTCATGATGTTCCTCAATCTACTCTGGAAGATAAGATAAATAGAGGACAGCCATTGAAATACAAGGGGGTGTTTCAACGGTGGCGACGTACTTTTTTTTATTCTTTTTTCTACAAAAAAAGCCTTTATACAAGTACAAAAAGATGCGTGGTTAAGGAAGAGCTACAGTGAACATCCTCGGTGAATCTTATCACGAACAGATAGAGGTCTGTTACTCTACGCAAAATCGACCTTATACTCTTCGGATATTTTTTTCCACGATTTTCTCAGCCTTCGGTTCGAAGAACCTTCTCAACTGGATCTATCGCTTGAGTTATTATCAGCTTTTGATATCCTCAAGGTCTTTGATCGTATCATATTGATGAACCGATCTTTGAGCCAGAAGAGCCAAAGCGAATTACGCAGTGGACGCCGCAATATAGCGATCATGTGTAGAATTTTATTTACAAGGCGCTAATTGCGCCAATCACGTCTTCGGCATGTCGGCCTCCTCCTTCTCCTCTTTCTTTGTTCTATGAGTGTCCCGACGATTGCCGGGAATGTGTGAAGTGTGTCTGTGTCAGCGATTGCGCCTACCTCCTTACGATATCACTGATCCTCGCGCAACTGACATCGATGATCGCGATGATTGATGCGATTTTGGTACGATAGACTTCGGCACCGTGCCGACTGCGCTCAAGATTTCAAGCGACCGAGACTTTCCCGAAAGAAAAGAAAAAAAAACTGGCCACATTCACATGCCCGCGGACCCCTTGTCTCGTCGAAGCGGCGACCGTTGGATTCCCGACAAGTCAGGGGCCCGGAAGAGATGCTGCTCGGAGACGGTGCGTTTCTTCCCGGCGAATCCCGGGAGACCCTGACTTGTTGAAGCGACGACTATTTGATCTTCAACCAGGTGCCATCACGCGGATTGCCATCTGCGCTTTTCTTCGCACACGTTTCCGTCTAACGTGTCTTCTAGATGAGTTTCTGGCATTAGTTGAGGGACGCGACGACGCTGGAACCGCGAGGGCGAGTAACGCCAGTTTCGGCGATCCAGTTTGTCTTTGAATCTCCATCTGCGGCGAATCCGATACTCTAATCCTGATATCGACGACCTGCCGAGTTGAGGAGCCTGAGAAATGTATCATTCGTGAGAGAATCTGGTGATATTTATGACCTTTTTCCAAGTATATCTGATTTTCTCTATAGTCTTTTTATATTATGTGTTTGTTTCAGCTGCATCTCGGAAAATAGTCGTTGTTGTCGGCCGGTGCCATTATCAACTCTCATATCCTCTCTCTCTCTTTCTTTCTCTCTATCATTCTCTCATTCTCTCTCGCTCTCTCTCATCATCCAACCCAAGATGATCCTTACGGTGCACCGTAGCTACTGGGCGGTCTGCTGGGCGCTCCGTAACTGGTGCTAGGTCCGCTGGGATAACCTCCGGAACCTTGGCTGACCTGATTGAATTGGGCAACCTGGATGGCCTGCCTGATGCCTTCGAGATCAATGCCTACGACACGGGTCTGGTAGCTGGGCACGCCGTATTGCGTCGACGGGGGAGCGCCGTATTGCGCGGACGGGGCACTGTAGCTGGAGCTAGGTCCGAATCCGCCGCTCTGTTGGGACTGCAGCTCTTCCTTCAGGAGGATCTGGCTGATCTGCTCAAGCAGGGCACCGTTCACGGAAGCACCTTCGCTGCTCTGACCACCGAAGGACACCTGGGTGTAGCCGCCACCGCCACCGCCACCGCCACCGCCGCCGAAGGAAAAGTCACCGCCGCCGCCACATTACATTATGAAGAGCAATTAAATGATTAAATAATTGAAAATAATTTGTCAGTATTTTTCACTTAGCACTGTTCTATAGTAAGTTCGCATAAGTCGTGGTTACAAGTCAATTTATTAGAAACGCCGTATTTTATAGAAATTGTTTTATATTCGAATGATCTACATTATATTGTATTTATATTTGAAAATTATTTTTATCTATTAATTTTTTTATTTTTTATCAAATATTCTTGTATTTGCGTTATAATGCACATGTAAAAGTCTCTTGCTTCAGTTATTTGCTAAAAATTAATTTTATACATTTCTATTTTCTATGTAATTACAGCCATAAATGCTGATAATAAGACAATTGATTAGAAATTAATTTTATCAATATAATATATATGTATACAATATAAATATAATATATATGTATATGCATACATTATGGTGAGAAAAGTATTCATTATCTATTAATATTCTCTTCTCTCTGTCGACAGTATATAAAATAAGACATGATCAACATAAACATAACTATATGACGACTACAGTTGTTACAGCATTATGTTGTAACATATTGCAAACCGCTATAATAAAATACTGTGCGCGTGCCGTATTTCGCCGCCGTATTAATTTTGCGCGACAGCAATATGAAACGTTCCTTATTAAAAACGTTTCGTTTAGAATTCTATCTTGATGAATCATCCTGATGAATATATTCTTTCTTCGTTAGAAAATACAATCATGTTATATATGCTAATGTCTTTTCAGTTCATGAATATAAATTCATATTTATTTAGTTAAGCTATGAGAATATATTACGTAACAGAAGCTAAACTATAAAAAGGTACATTTCACGTAACAAATTTTCTTGTGCAATGTGTAACGCCGGATGTGCGTCGAATTATTTTTTCATTAAATATTTCCGTTGATCATTCTACGCCGTAAGATATTTTTTATTTTACACTGCAGTGTGATCTTTTCTACAACCTAGAATCAGTAACCTATTATTGTTTTTTGTATTGTTAACTTTATTTAATAACAATTAGAAGAAGACATTATAATTTATTCAAATTTTTTATATTTAAGATTAATTGTTAATTATAATTAATATTATTGTGGTTAAAAGCAATCTAAAATATATTACGTTATTTATTAAATGAATATATTTTTCTCTCTCCTTGTCTCTCTTTCTCTTTTTCTTTCCCTCTCTTTCTGAAATATTATGAATTACTATAAATAAGTAAAATAAATACAGAATAAATATATAAAATATATTACAGAAATATATTTAGAAATTATTATAAACTATTGTATTAGAAGAATAGAAGAATAGGGGTAAATTAATTATAATTAATTAATTATAATTAATCTTAAAGAAATTATGATTTGTTATATTAAAAAATTGAATGCATGCATAAACATTTTAATTAAATTATAAGAAACTAAAGTGTTTATCATCTATTCAATCTCTTTTCAATCTCGTAATACCGATTACTTGAAGAACGGCAGAATAACAACAGGCTAATTTTTATACATCGAATAGGTCACTTGAAAGAAAGTTGGCAGAGTAATTTCGAGAGTGCTTGAAGTCATGCGGCCAGTAATCACTCTCGATTCAATTCGTGACGTATTTATTAGAAGAGGAAAGGAGAGGATCTATCGATCCAGCGATTTTTAGCATTTCTCTGAGCGGAGGCATCCGTAGCATTGCATAAGTCTCATAATAATCTACATGTATCATGGAAAATAAGAATAGAATCGATTTTTTAAATGTTTATGTTTTACGTCATCACCTTTTTGCATCTTAATACATTTTTTCTTAATAAAGGGATGACTTCAACGGTCTCGGTTATTGCAACTCAATGTATTTTACTGACATTGCGTCAGACACGAATACATTTCAACGAATATTTCAGGCAAGGATAACTAGCACATAGTAAATTTATGAATTAACGACTAATTTACTCATCGAAAAATATCTCCGGTCGCCTAATTGACATTTGACGCGCACGTGAATTTGAAAATTGGTTTCCACCAGCGTGATCGTTTCACGTATGATTTCACTTACGAGTCCACTTATATACGAAATATATGCATGCTATTTCAACATACAGGCAATAGTTAGGGACAGAAATTAATGAAGATGGAGACAAGCTGCAATATTTTACGATAATATATTCTGGAATAGTGACGCGAGATATTGAGACAAAGTTGCGGTACCGACGAGGATAAATCATTTACCTTCGGAAATTTATAAAGGTCGCGCGTAAGCGAGCGATGGAGAGCACAATCATCTGAGAGTCACGAACTCTTGATAGAATGAGAGTCATCAGGAAGAAAAGTACATGTTTTGTCAGCATTGTATCATCCGCGTGCTAAAGCTTCCGTGCATTCGAATCGATGTAATCATCGACTTCGAGGTGATCATATCTTGCACGCATCAATACACATAGCGTTGCTGCATTAAAGTATTTTATTATAAAATGCATTAATATTTGCCCAATAGTTAAAGCTGCATCAAAAATTTTCCAGGCGACTTTAAACGACAATAATCTTAGATTTTATTATTCTAGTTTTTTTATTTTTTGTTATTATTTATACGTGGCTTATAAAAGTTACACATTTGGCGATTAATATATAGAGATAGAAAGTAAAAAAATATCAGCTGGAATTAATTCTTTCATTTATAATTTATATTTGTAATTCTAGTCATTATTTATTTCGCGATTGACGTTGTAAAGTACGATTATCCGATAGTAAAGAAACTGCTCTCAATATACATCTTCTCCTCAAATAATAATCGATGTCAAAAACATAATTAAGAGAGAGAAGTCAGTGATTTGTTCACGACACGATGGGAGATTTGAAGGTGCCTAGAGGAGGAAGTTCATTACGAGACCGTCGATCTGACAACGCAGTCGACGTGTCCGGCTCGTACTCGCTAAACGAGAGGGAAAACGCTTTCTTCGGCGAGGAATTTAATTATCCGGCCTGTGAACTCTCGACCTACTTCTTTACGCGCGTTACGACCCCCTATATCTGGTCCGCCGTTCTTCCTCCTCCGCTTTCTTCTCCTCGTTTCTCGAGTTCGATTCGCTTAATTCCTTTCCCCTTTTTTTTTCTTTCCCTTTCTTTCACGATTTGTACTCGTCCCGATAGTTAAAGATCGGCCAGCAATATGCGAGAGCGTTTTTTAACGATTACTTTCACGTGTCCTTGCCGTCCGATGTCAGTAGTGCAGCTGTGGACCTACTTTGTACGCGGTCCCCCGTGTAAACGGCACGTTAGCACGTTAGGGAATTTTTTTCACGAATCGCGGTCTTACGGATGGCTGTGCCCCTGTTGCGTCAGCAGCGTTACATTCGGTTACGCAAACATCTGCAATCGCTGATCTGGGATGATATATGCGGTTTTTGTTATTTGATTCTCGCTGGAGAGAGGTTTTTTATTAAGCTATGTTTTAACGTTATCTTTATTTTATCTTTATTTAGAAATATCAAAACTGTGATAAATAGAAACTTTTATCCAAGCACAATCTATAGCCTTAGTATATTTAAATTGGTCAAATATAATAATCGAATACCACTTTAGATCTTGAATCGGTGTGCTTGAAATGCCATAAAATACTCTAGCAATAGATATCTTTAAATTTTTTACACGTATGATCACATAAGAAGCAGGTATAAATTTTATCGAATTTTATTTTATATCGGAGAGCGATAATGATATGAAGCTATATTTAAATTCTCAAATGATTTCATGAATTATATTTCTCGAAGACAATATTTTGATAGATAATATCTCCGCTTTCTGTTATTTACTGGTATTTTTCATGTATATTTTAATTATAGCAATTAATATCCGTCACTCAAGTCACTTTTGTCAACATGTCGTTGCCGACAGGCATCGTTCGGACGCCGGTAATGACAAGATACGAGAATGCTTCGATGTTCAGGAGAAGTGGTTTTAAGTCATCGGCATCAGTGACAACTATGAAATCCGGAGAGAATGTAGGCTCGTGCTACCGCGATGGCATATACGGAAAATACGTGTATACGTGACACACAGGATGATTTTTATCCCAGAACAATTTATTTATAATTAATGCAAATTTCAACTTTGATGAAGAGAAAGCAAACAAATGCGCAAATCGTGGAAATAAAATGAAAAACATCATCATTTCATCGATATGAGTACTGTATTTTTATGCAGAGGTAAAAACAAGCTGAAAATTGTGCAAATTAGAAACTTGCACATTACTTCCTCATCATTTTATTTCGCTTATAAAACTTAAGCTCCTTAAAGCAAGCGGGTTTTTTAATTTTGGCTTCCTCATAGAGGAAGATATCTCAAAATTTGCGAAAATTTGCAAAATTTGCGAAAGACGTGCACAGACATTTCTCAAAAAATTCAAAATTTTATAAAAAATGGATTCTTTCACCGATCCTCATCAAATTTAATACCAACCATTTTTTAATAATACTCTATCTATGTAAAAAAATTTAATCCGATATCTAAGAATTTGCGGAAGTTACAACGTGTGCAGACATTTTTCAAAAAATTCAAAATTTTATAAAAAATGAACTTTTTCACCAATCCTTACCAAATTCAATACCAACCATCCTTTAGTAATATTCTATCCATGTAAAAAAATTAAACCCGATATCTCAAAAATTGCGGAAGTTAGAAATTGTACAAACATTGCGCACATACATACATACATACATACATACATTCAATTTTTAAGAATATGATTTTTCGACGTTTTGGAACATTCTAAACACAAAAAACTGGCATAAAAAAACTCGAAAAAGAATGTTGTCACGAAAACAAAGCTTTCTCTATGAGGAAGCAAAAAAAATGATGGCGCAAAGAATGCGGATGATGAATACGTCACAATACAATTGCTATTTTGAGTTTATGCATATGTTCGACCGTGCTTTTTCCTTCACCAGTAAATCTCTGTTCGAAATTTTCACGATGATTTAGTAGGAGTCGTGAATTTACAACAGTCTCTC